TCATGAATTAAGCATGGCCCTGTGTATATTCCTTGCACCTGAGTATATCAAGAGAATTGTCAAAGCTAAGTCATCACATGAATTGTCTAATCCTTACTCTTAATAGGCAGCAGACACATGGTCAAAGCATCTATTCAGTACCTGCTGGTCTTTCAGATGCTGCCTGTCAAAATTGAACTTGTTACCTCGCTTGCGCTTCCTCTGTTCCCTGTCTCAGTTTCGCCATCTTCTTGGTGACACATTGTCCCTACATTCAGGCATTTAAATCTGGTTGGTTATACCTCGGCATTATTTCTGCCACAATCTCTGCATCATCTTTCGCTTTCATTAATTTAATAGCTTTCTTTCTGGTCTCAACTTTATTCTGTTGCCTATAATCATTGCCACCAGGTGTTCCTCTTAAAATATAACATGGCTCATGTTTGTTCCCTCCTTGAAAAACTATGATGCCTCCTTAAATTCCAGATTATTGATGGCATTTGAGACTCCAAGCTCTCAAAGAGGCCACATCTCTCAGAGAATCTCTTTATAAGCCTTCTGTTCCTATTCTATTTCTTAGACACTTTTTTTAAGTTTTCCTTATTTTGCACAAGTATTTTACCTTAGTTTAGAAAAGCCAGTCCCCAGTCTACTTCTTGCTAATTTTCTTCTCATCATCAGTTCCCTTGATCAGTTATGGACAATTACTTATTCACTATTATCTCATTTAATTAGAAACTATTTGCAATTTATGTCATTGTCTCTATGTTATAATTAGTTATTATATTTGTCTCCAGTACAAAAGCTTAAGGAAGTTTCTTAGGACTAGTGTCTGAAGCTTCCTTCTATTGTAGAGAGCACTCCAGGAGAATTCCTGAGCAGCGCTTAGTAACTGTTGTGAATAATCTCTACAATATTGAAAGGGGACACACTCCCCTTTCTTACTAGCCAAAGCAATTAAGTTCCTCTGGGCACTTAACTGATTTTTGTCCAGTGCTCCCGTTTTGCTAAGTCACAGATTTGCTAGCCCATTTTCCACATTACAATTTTCCTTTTCTGTAACTTAGGATACAGGATGAAAGTAAGCTTCAAATGTAAAGATTTATTTTATAAGATCTTGCCACTGTTTCAGTGGCACATCCATCAAGTTACCTCAGCTATGTAGTGATATATTTTAAAATGTTTATTTTCTATAAAAGTAATTTGATATAATGTTTTTAAAACACCAAACAGTATAAAGCAATTTATAATTAAAATTNTTTAAAAAAGAAAATAATAAATAAATAAATTAATTAATTAATTAAAAATATGTTAGGAGATTGCTTGCTAAGTGAATGAATTTACTTAGTTATTTTACTTAATTTATATATTCTGTTTTTGCCCTTTTTTAAAGTTTTTAAGCTAATATTAATGCTGAGGGGAACTAAAATTTTAAATTATAATAAAAGTTTCCTTCATAAAATGCCAGTAAAATAATGTTATATTAGAATAACGGTAATGAACAAAGAACAAACCTTGTATTTGCTCCTTCCTCTAAGTCGTATGATTTTATTCATTGTTGGATATTGGCATTTTAGGGGGAAAGTCAAATTATTTTTTAGTTGAGACAGAGTTTCTCAATTTTTATTCCTTCTCTCCTTATAGGCTGCTCTATAAGTAAGGTATATATGCTACAGCATTACCCGTATTTGCATTCCTAGTACTATTATTTCATTTCTTTCCTATTGAACAAAGCATATTCTATAGTAATGTTGAGACTGTACACAGCTTACCTTCTTCCTCCCACTTCTGCATTCCTGAGGATTATAGTAGTGCTTCTCAAGTTATGATCAGAGGAGGGGAAGGGGACCCCTGACAAACCCTGTGCTAGTCCCCAAATGCATTATTTTCTGTGCTCAAAGGTCAATGAGTTGTAATTCAGGAATTTTCTTTGGTTCGTGACTAAGTACTCCTTGCTATAAGTAAGTTAATAAAGTTTGATTTTTCACATATCAAAAATAGGCACCATTGGAGTTACTGAAGAGTCCTTCTAATTGAGTAATCTTGTAAAAATCCTGATTACCACACTACAATTTGAGATATTAGGTACAAAGCTCTGATCACCCAACAGCACCTGCAGAGAGTTGGAATTCAGTTTTCAAGAAAAGCATTTTGTTATCAATGTATCATCAATTCAACTTGACAATGGATTTTTAACTCCT